ATTGTTGCCTTTTGTGTGTAGACCTTTTCATGAGTTTTTATAATAGTGGTCTCATACAATATTTGTCCTTTTGTGATTGACTTATTTCACTCAGCATAACGCCTTCCAGATTCGTCCATGTTGTGACATGCTTTGCAGATTCATCATTGTTCTTTGTCGTTGCATAGTATTCTGTTGTGTGTGTATGTACCATACTTTTGTTTATCCATTCATCTGACGATGGGTACCTAGGTTGTTTCCATCTTTTTGCTACTGTGAACAATGCTACAATGAACATGGGTGTGCATATGTCTATTTGTGTGATGGCTCTTATTTCTCTAGGATATATTCCTAGGAGTGGGATTGCTGGATCATATGGTATTTCTATTTCTAGCTTTTTAAGGAAGTGCCATATTGTTTTCCAAAGTGTTTGTACCACTTTGCATTCCCACCAACAGTGCATAAAAGTTCCAGTCTCCCCACAACCTCGCCAACATTTGTTATGTTCTGGTTTTTTTTTTTTAGTTCATGCCAGTAATGTTGGGGTGAGATGGTATCTGATTGTGGTTTTAATTTTCATTTCTCTAATGGCTAGTGATCACTAGCATTTCCTCATGTATCTGTTAGCCAGTTGAATGTCTTTTTTGATGAAGTGTCTGTTCATATCCTTTGCTCATTTTTCAAATGGATTATTTGTCTTTTTGTTGTAGAGGTGTTGGACTTTCCTGTAGATTTCAGAGATTAGACCTTTGTTGGATTGTTGTAGCCAAAAAATTTTTTCCAGTCTGTACGTTCTCTTTTCACTCTTGGTGAAGTCTTTTGATGAGCGTAAGTGTTTAATTTTTAGAAGATCCCAGTTATCTAGCTTATCTTCTGGTGTTTATGTATTGTTGGTTATGGTTTGTATCCTGTTAATGTCATGTATTAAGGCCTCTAGTGTTGACCCTATTTTTTCTTCTATGATCTTTATAGTTTTTGGTTTTATATTTAGGTTCTTTGATCCATTTTGGATTAGTTTTTTGTATGGTGTAAAGTATGGGTCCTGTTTCATTTTTTTGCAGACGGACATGGAGTTTTGCCAGTGCCATTTTGTAAAAAGTCACTCCAAATTTATTAATTTTACTCTATAAATACTTAACATTGGAAAAGTCAGTATGTTAAAATATAAACTTTTCAGGGATATCAGTTTTAATTATGTCCTAGGGCAGTGATTTCTAAACTCTTTTGATGGTATATTTCATTAAAAAAAATTTGGTCAGTGTACCCCTAGAGTATGTATATGTGTGTACGTGTGTGTGTGTATACTTAAAAGCTATGCATGTATTACTATACTAGTATATTGTGTATATTATGAAAACAAACAAGAAAATAGAAGTTAATGAAAAAGATTAACATTAACTAATAGTATGTTATTGTTGTTGTTAGGTTCCATTGAATTGGTTCCAACTCATAGCAACCCTATTTACAGCAAAATGAAACACTGCCTGGTTCTGTGCCATTCTCACAGTTGTTTATATGTGTGAGCCCATTGTTGGAGTCACTGTATCAGTCCATCTCATTGAGGGTCTTCCTCTTTTTTGCTGACCCTCTACTTTACCAAGCATAATGTCCTTCTCCCAGGGACTGGTCCCTCCTGATAACATGTCCCAAGTACATGAGACGAAACCTCACCATCCCCACACAGGAGCATTCTGGCTGTACTTCTTCCAAGACAGATTTGTTTGTTCTTCTGGAAGTGTGTCCATGGTATATTCAACATTTTTCATCAATACCATAATTCAAAGGCATCAGTTCTTCTTCGGTCTTCCTTATTCATTGGCCAGCTTTCACATGCATACGAGGTGATTGAAAACAGCATGGCTTGGGTCAGGTACACTTTAGTCCTCCAAGTGACACCTTTGCTTTTTAACACTTTAAAGAGATCTTTTGCAGCAGATTTGCACAATGCAATATGTCATTTGGTTTCTTGATTGCTGCTTCTATGTGTGTTGATTGTCCGTCCAAGGAAAATCAAATCCTTAACAACTTCCATCTTTTCTCCGTTTATCATGATGTTGCTTACTGGTCGGGTTGTGAGGATTTTTGTTTTCTTTATGTTGAGATGTAATCCATACTGAAGGCTGTAGTCTTTGATCTTGATCGGTGCTTCGAGTCTTCTTTACCTTCAGCAAGTGAAGCTGTATCATCTGCATATCACAGGTTGTTAATGAGTTTTCCTCCAATCCTGATACCGTGTTCTTCTTCATATAGTCTGGCTTCTCAAATTATTTGCTCCACATTCAGATCAGTGGTTAAGGTGATTGGCTGCTAACTGAAAGGTCAGCAGTTTGAAACCACCAGTGCCTCTGCTGGAGAAAGATGTGGCAGTCTGCTTCTGTAGAGATTTACAGCCTTGGAAATCCTGTGGGGTCGCTATGAGTCAGAATTGACTTGATGGCAGTGGGTTTGGTTTTTTTTTATACAGACTGAATAAGTATGGTGAAATGATACAACCCTGATGCACATCTTTTCTGGTTTTAAACCACTCAGTTTCCACTTGTTCTGTTTGAACAACTGCCTCTTGGTCAAAGTACAGGTTCTGAATTCTATTGGATCACCTTTCTTTGGAATGGTACCAAATATGGATCATTTCCAGTTGGTTGACCAGGTAGCTGTCTTCCAAATTTCATGGCATAGACAAATGAGTACTTCCAGCATTGCATCCATTTGTTGAAACATCTCAATTGGTATTCTGTCAATTCCTGGAGCCTTGTTTTTCACCAGTGCCTTTAGTGCAGCCCGGACTTCCTCCTTCAGTACTATTAGTTCTTGATCATATGCTACCTCCTAAAATGGTTGAACATCAACTAACTTTTTTTGGAATGATGACTTTGTGTATTCCTTCCATCTTCTTTTGATGCTTCCTGCATCATTCAGTATTTTCCCCATAGAATCCTTCAGTATTACAACTTGAGGCTTGAATCTTTTCTTCCGTTCTTTCAGCTTGAGAAATACTGAGTGTGTTCTTCTCTTTTGTTTTCTAACTCCAGGTCTTTGCACATGTCATTATAATACTTTACTTTGGCTTCTGGAGCTGCCCTTTGAAATCTTCTGTTCAGCTCTTTGACTACATCATTTCTTTCTTTCACTTTAGCTACTCTACGTTCAACAGTGAGTTTCAGAGTCTCTTCTGACATCCATTTTGGTCTTTGCTTTCTTTCCTGTCTTTTTAATGACTGTCTTAGTTATCTAATGCTGCTGTAACAGAACTACCACAAGCAGATGGCTTTTACAAAGAGAAATTTACTCTCTCACAGTCTAGGAGCCTAGAAATCCAAATACAGTGTGCCAGCTCCAGGGGAAGTCTTTCTCTCTCTATTGGCCCTGGAGGAAGGTCTTTGTCATCAGTCTTCCCCTGATCAAGGAGCTTCTCAGCACAGGAACCCTGGGTCCAAAGAATGTGCTGTACTTCTGGCGCTGCTTTCTTGGTGGTATGAGGTCCCCATGTCTCTCTGCTCACTTCTTTCTTTTATATCTCAAAAGAGATTGTCTTAAGACACAACCTAATGTTGTAGATTGAGTCCCGCCTCATTAACATAACTGCCACTAATCCCACCTCATTAACATCATAGAGGTAGGGTTTACAACGCATAAGAAAATCACATCAGATGACAAAATGGTAGACAATCGTACAATACTGGGAATCATGGCCTAGCCAAGTTGATTCACATTTTTGGGGGACACAACTCAATCTATAACAGTGACCTTTTGCTTTCTTCACGTATGATGTCCATGAGGTCATCCCAAAACTTGTCTGGTCTTCTGTTATCGGTGTTCAATTTGTCAAATCTGTTCTTGAGACGGTCTCTAAATTCAGGTGGGATATACTCAAGGTTGTACTTTATCTTAATAATGTAGTATTCTGTTAATCATGCTGGCTTCATGTCATCATTAATACTTTAAGGCACATAGGTAGCCAAGGATAAGGTTCATCATTAAAGAGAATATCTTAAGAGATTTGCTTCATGATTACTAATTTCTGGGTGATTTTTTTCATATCTGATTAAATCATTATTATTTTTACCTTATAATGGCTGACAAAAGGAATAAGGGAAGTGTCAGTTCTGCCAGTTCAACCCGTTCCTGGGTTTGCATCACTACTGTTGTCATCAGTGTTTTGATTTCTTTGCAGAAATCATTTAAAGCCACTTGTCTGTTCTGTGACCGTTGGTTTAAGCAATGTAAGATCTTGTATAAACCCACATAAATCCAAGCGTACCTAAACTGAAACACATCACGATACTTTGAGAATGAGAGGACAAGGGCAGGCATCACCCCAAATGCCAGTCCAAATATTCTCTATCTGCACCCCAGACTGATTTGCATAGGACACTCATGTAGCAGTGCCCCCAGAGATCCATATAAATAAGCTTTTATAGTACTGTTTTGAATGTAGTTTGGTTTAAGAAAATTGAATTTGTATAAGAAAATGCTTGTACGTATTGTTGCATATAGTGAGGATATTTGTCTGTTGTAAAGGAAAGGCGACAACTATGGGATGGTAGAAAGAAAACTGCGGTTGGACTCTGAGTCCCAGACCTGCCACTAGCTGGCTATGCGATAACGGACAATTGAGTTTCTTTCTGTAAGCCTCCGTTTCCTCATCTGTAACCCCACACAGTGGTAGTGAGAATTAACTTTAACAAGAGAGGCTTGTAAAAGGGCATTGTAGTTTATAATTTATCCTCACATGTAATAGAATTCATAAAACCTTATATAAATAAAGGAGACCTGGTGGCGCAGTGGTTAAGAGCTTGACTATTAACCAAAAGGTCTGCAGTTCGACTCCACCAGCAGCTCCTTGGAAACCATATGGTTCTACTCTGTCCTGTATGGTCACTATGAGTCAGAATTGACTCGATGGCAGTGAGTTTGGTTTGTTTGTTTTTAATGTATAAATATAAGGGGAGCACTTTCTTCATAAGTGGAGGGAATATATATCTCAATAACAATTTTTGTTTGTTTGCTTGTTTCACTTCTAGACTGCCTCTTCAAGCTATGTCCCATGAATCGCTACTCAGCCCAGAAGCAGTTTTGGAAAGCTGCAAAGCCAGGGGCCAACAGCACAACAGATGCAGTGCTGCTCAACAAGCTACACGTAAGTACTGGATGCAGCTGTTGGCGATGAGGGTCTTGTGAGCGGCCAGTTGGATGGTGTCCAAGTGTAAGGGATGGGGGACTAGTTATGCAAATTTCCTCATTTGGTACCGATTTCCTTACGTTTTTTGATAAAGGAGTGAAAGGGAGATGGCCCTAAAGAGAGATGGGTTACAGTCACCTTGAGATGATGTGAGAGCTGGTTTCTTTTCAGCCATTCCCTTTTGGAGGTGGCTTTGGGGAAAGTAGTGGCCACAAGCACAAGACAGTTTGAAAGCAAACTGTCTAGATTTGCACCCTGGCTCCACCACTCACTAACTGGTCATCTTGGGCATGTTACCTATTTTGTACCTCTATTACCTCATTTGTAAAATGGGTATGATAATAATACCCACCTCAGAGGTCTTTGTGAGGATTCCATGAAATGAACCATAAAAGGTACAGGAATAATACCTGGCACATAATAAATGCTTAATATATGTTAGTTATTATCATTATATTTCCCTTGACTATTATTTGATATACAAGAGATGTGCTTATTACATTGCTGAAGTGCTGTGTTCTCCTAAACAATTGTTTGAACCTCTCTGAGCCCATTTCTCCATCTGTTAAATGATGACATAATTCTTCTAATATCCTGCACTGTGAGGATCATCTGTCTAGTTCTTCAGGATGCTTAGAAGAAGGACATTACATAAATCAGTGGAGTATTATTGAAATTTAACCCATTTCCTATCCCCCATCCTGATTTATTTTTCTCCATGATGTTTGTCATGATCTTTCTAATTTATTTTGCTGTCTTTCCCAAGGAGAATGTAAGCTACATGCGGGCAGATACATTTTTTTTTTCAGTTTTGCTCATTGCTGTATCCTCTGTGCCTGAAACAGAATTTGGCACATAGTAGCTACTCAAATATTTATTAACTGAATTAAAAAAATGCTGTTTCTCGGGGCTTAGTGATGATAGTCAGAGAAGTGGAATAACTGTGAGCACTGAAGAGCTCACTGGTCTTCCGTCTCAGCTCCCTTTGTTTTGATTGTTGTTGTTGCGTGCTGTTGAGTCAATTCCAACTCATAGCGACTTCATGTGATAGAATAGAACTGCCCCATAGAGTTTCCTAGGCTGTAATCTTTATGGGAGCAGATCATCAGGTCTTTCCCCCATGGAGCTGCTGGGTGGGTTCAAACTGCCAAGCTTTCGGTTAGCAGCCAAGCATTTAACTGTGTAGCCACCAGGGCTCCTGCTGTTTTGACTAGCATGGGGCAAAGTCGCAGCTCGCTGTGTTTGTTACAGTAAGGGTCAGCTGAAGACACTCTTTCATTTAGTATATATCATGTTAGATGGGGGTAAGAAGCTCCAGGTATGAGAGGAAAAGACCAGGTTCCTAACCTAGGCGAGTTTATAGTCCAGTTTGAGGACGCACAGCAGTCCACTCCCATTGTACTTAAAATGAAACCCAGGCTTTTTGCCATTATCTACAAGACTGTGCATGTGTAGACCCTGCTTTTCTCCCTAACCATCTCTGACCCTTCTGAACTATGCTCACTACACCAACCACATTGGCTTTATTTCATTTCATTTTACTTTTTGAACACCCCAAACTCTTACCAGTCTCCTGACCTTCGCCCTTTCAGTTTGTTTAGTTTAGAACATTGTTCCCGTGGCCTTTTTTAAGCTAGGACCTTTGCATCTTTCAAGCCTCAGCTTAAGTGTCATCTCAGCGAGGCCTTCCCCCCCCACCTTGTCTAAGTCATGTCCTGCTTGCTGTTGTCTCCCATAGCACCCTGTTTATGTCTCTCTCAGCATTGATCATAGTTTGCAGTTGCATTTAGTAGTTTCCTTAGTTATCATCTGTCACCCCATTTGAATGATAGCTCTACAGAGTCAGGGGCTGTGTCTGTCTTGTTCACCATTATATCCCCAGTGCCTATAATGCAGTAGATGCTTAACAAATATTTGTTGAATGAATGAATGAATGAGCACTGTGCTAGGTGTTGGAGATAAATCTGTGGCAGAGTCCTAACAATCTGGGAGCTTAATCTCTAATAAAGAATAAAGAGATAGTGACCATTCAGTGTGACAAGTACTGTCACAAGGAGAACCAACCACCTGAGGCTGTGGAAGCATAGAAGGGCCATCGAAATCCATCTTTGCTGGGTTAGTGTGGGAGATACAGTGATCAAGGAGGGCTTCCTAGAGGAAGAGGACGTGACAAGCCTCAGTCTGAGGCACTTGTAGAAGTTAGAAAGCAGGAGAGGAAGAAACAGGTTAAAGGCCTAGAGGCTAGAGATGGCTTTGAACACTTCAGGAATTGCAACATCTTTATTTTAACAGTTTTAGGGCAGACATTCTCAACCCCGACAGACCCATTACTCCCTCCAGATAGCACATATTATATAACTTTACAAACAAAATGAAATTCATAAATAACATAGCCTCCCTGGATTCTAAATTTACAAAAAAGAAGAATTATAAAAGAGAAATAAAAGACAAAAACAATGTGTTCTTCAGTCAATTCATGCTCAGGCACAACCACTCTAGAAGACCCAAACCAAACCTGTTGCTGTCCAGTTGATTCCAACTCTTAGTGACGGTATAGGACAGAGTAGAACTGGCCCACAGGGTTTCCAAGGAGGGGCTGGTGGATTCGAACTGCCGACCTTTTGGTTAGCAGCCAAATGCTTAAGCACTGCACCACCAGCCTCCATCTAGAAGATGTAAGGTAGTAAATACCTGCACCTATTTGCATAACCCCTGGGAAGGAGACTGCCGTAGACTGGGTGAGTACTGGCGATGCGAAAGCAGGTTATCCGTGGTAATGTTGTGAAGAATGCAGAGTACACCCTCTCATTTATTAAATGCTGGGTGGTGCAAAACAGTTAATGTGCTTGCTGCTAATCAAAAGGTTGGTGGTTTTCGAGTCCACCCAGAGGCAACTCGGAAAAAAGGCCTGGCGATCTACTTCCAAACAAATCAGTCATTGAAAACCCGATGGAGCACAGTTCTACCCTGACACATAAGGTCACTATGAACTGGGGTCAGTTCAACAGCAACTGGACTGTATTTTTGGAAAATATATTAATAATAGTGTTAATAAAACCATGCAAGACTATACTTTGTGTTGATATATAAAATGGAGTTAGATGCAGGCTCGGATAATGACAGACAGCTTTTTAACCTATGTGAATGTGTCTAGCCAGACATAAAATTGTATGGGATGAGCAACGGTCCATCTTTGTACAGGGATGTACCATGCATTTCAAGATATCCAGCTAGTTCCTGTCCACCGTCATTGTGATAATCTAGAATCACCCTGAAGTCTGTGCTAGGAACATGGGAGTTTAATCGAATGGATGGAGAAAGTTGCTCAATCCTGCAGATCTCCCAGGAGAGCTATTTAGGGCCTATGCCTATGGCTTTGTCTTTGTAGGTCTGCATGTCTTTGGTAGTCCTGCCTTTGCTTTTCTGGTATAGAAACCATTTGGTTCATTGAGATCTTATTCGCAGCTCTCAAACTCTTTATTATCCTGCACTAGGGGTTGTAAATTCAGAATCCTGTTGGCCAAGTGGGAAGCCAACAGAAATAAAAGGGGTTTGGTGGGCAGTGTTGCTAAGTGGAGTGTGCATGTGTGTGGGTCTGCAGGGGGCAGCTCTACCTCCCTGCTGTTACTGCGTGGGAAGGCGGGCCTAGGGCTGCCGCTAGGTCTTCTGAACCTTTTTCAGACAAGCTGAAAAAATCCATGCTTGTGTGTGTAATGTTGCTTTCTCTCTTTGTTTTCATGTTGATAACCAATTCAGTTTTTAAGGCTCAATACATAACACTCAATACCAACACTAAATGTCTCAGGTGGGATGTGGCTCTGAAGCCACCAGTTTGCAGTCTGCAACCTATATGTTATATTTTATCAGTAATTCCTTTCAAAGCTCCTTCCCATGAATGAGCTGTGAAAAAACAGCACACTTAAAAAAAATCCAATCCTAAAGGTGATCAAGAACTTTGAAGTCCTTATTTTTTTTAAAAAGCAAAAAACAAACCCCAACGAATTATCTCTTTTTTTTCTTTCATGCTCTTTGTGCTTTAAAAAAATTTTAAAGGAAACCACTCCTTTCCTTTGATTTAAGATTACTGGTGTGGCTTTCAGATCTTGGGGGTTGACTTTGTGCTTGAGCAGTTCCTACTTGCCTGCTTAGTGGGAGCTTTTCCCCCTAGTGTCCAAAAGTCATCTACGTGGCTCTGTGGTCTCCATACAGCCATTAAAGTGTTGTATTTTGGGCAGCCACTTGCCTTGGGGGGCCGATGGCCAGTCTCCAGTGGGTTTCATTTTTAGTTTTGTCAACTACTGTGCAGCACCCTGATCAAAGGTCAGATTGTTTTAAATTAATGCCATTTAAGGAATTGGTTGTCTAGACCACTTGACTTCCTTTGACTGGGATAAGCAGTGTGAACAGCACTTTGAAGGAGAATGACATCTAGTGGCTGATTACTGTGTGTGTTTATGCATGCCAATTCCCTCTGCAGGAATAACTGCACTGTACCTCTCCTGGTCATGATTTCCCAAAAGTCCCTTGGCAAAATGAGTTTGCCCGGGCTCCGCAAATTAGAAATTTGTTCTAAAGGCCCTGATTACCATTTCCAGACTGCAGTTTACCTATTGCCTTGAAGCAGACACTTACATTGTTTTCATTCTGAGAAAAGATCACTTAAATTAAGCCACAGCCTTGACTAGGTAAGAGGAACCAGAGAAGTGACAAGTCCTGATTATCTTTCAAAGCCTGCTTGTTTTCAGGAGGTTTAATTCAGTATCACATTACATAACTCAGAGCTGGGTGATCTTAAATAAATCCCCTTTCCCCACTGTTCCAGTGACATTTTTTGTAGTAATTTAATAAAGGTTTCTCTAGTTCTGAAATAAAGTAACAGGTGACTGGGTTGGGGTTGACCTTGATGTTGCTTAGGGAATATGGCCAATATCAGTGGTGAGTAATATTGATGGAGACCA